GACATGTCTCCTGCAGAGACATCCCAGGATCCTTCGGAGCTCAAGTCACTCTGATCTTTTTGTCTCTCTGGACCCCAAGTCTCTGTTCCTCTGTGCCTACTGTGAATCCAGACACTTAGGTTGTGGGACATTTTATTTAGTCTTTTGAATCAACTTTATTGGTGTGTGTGTGTGTGTGTGTGTGTGTGTGTGTTACTGGGTATTGAATTTAGGGCCTTTGAACTAAGGTGCATCTGCAACCCTCATCTAATTCCCCCTTTAAAATTTCTTTTACAAATGGGAGACAGTGTCTGGCTAAGTTGCTAAGCTGCCCAGGTTAAGCTCAAACTTACAGCTTTCCGACCTCCTGCTTGCGTTGCGCCAGGACTGCAGCCATGCACCGCTGGACTTGGCTCTCCGGACATGCTGAGAAGCAGGTGAATACTCTAGAATATCTGCACGGAATGCTTCGAAAGATGGCTTTCAGTATCCGTGGTCTTTGGCTGGACCAGATTGGGTAAATCATGGTTCCAAAATAGTAGTTTGCAAAACTCATTCTTTAGAACAATGACCCAGAAAGCATTAAGGAAAAGCAAAGGAGTCTATAATAAAGTAAGTTCTGGGAAAAATGTAAAATAAAGCTCTGACTTGACTACTCACAGTTCACGGGACCACACTAAAATCTCAGAAAAATCCTTCAATAACACAAAACAGCTAAATTTTTGACCTAGAGTTTTTCAAATTTGTGGGATCATAGTTTTTTTTTTTTAATGTATTTGGTTCAGGGACTCTCTATGCAGCTCTGACTTGTAATGATCCTCCTGTCTCAGCCTCCCCAGTGCTGGGATTACAGGCATGTGCCACCACACGGGGTCTCAGGGCCAGCTCAGAATGCCCAGGGGTGGGGCCGGTCACCGCTCTTGCCTAGGCGCTTAGCCCGCTGAGCTATCTCACTGGCCCTCTAGATTTTTTTTTTAAATAAATCCTCAATTTCCACATTTTAGAATCTCACTTAAGATGTTTATTTAGCTTTACAACTAAACTGAGCTAAAACTGGGTCTGCCCTGGGAATCATGATCTTGCAGACGCTGACAAAACTCCAGCCTCTGACCTTTGACCCCAGGGCCCTCCATCAGTGAGGTGATCAGTTGGAAGGCTGTGGGGCTGCCCCGACTTCCAAGAGGGAAAGATGAACTTGTGGCCCCTTTCATGGCTCTGCATTTCCAGAGTCCTGACTTTGCGCCTTCGTTTTATGTCTTTTCCAAAATATAATGTAGTCAGAGTGCATAGATTGCTGAGAGTACAATGATGAAGTCTATAAATTGGTCCACATACCACTAGAACCAGCTCGGGGTCCAGAAACCTTACCAGCTCGCAGCAATCTTTCCACTGGGTTCCCTCCCTCCAGCTCCCAAAAGGTAGCCATTGCCTGACTTCTGACCTTTCTTGCAGCCACAGGGAGATTTCCGGGAGCGCAGGAATCAAGACTTGATCTCTCTGCATCCCTCAGGGTGTAGAATGGGCCTCAACCAAGCTGGAGAAGCTGAGACAGGAGGATCACTACAAGAAGATATTCGACTGTGCTCCTCTGTATAAGTGCGCAGCACAAAGTAACAGTTGCCTATCATGCAGAAGGGCCCTGGGGTCAGCCTAGCAGGTTCAAATCTCCTGCCTCTATTACTTGCTGCCTGTCTGACCACAGGAGCTTGCTTAATCTTTGCGGACCTCAGTCTTATTTGTAGGTTAGGGAAAATCTACTTTGTGGGGATGTTGCAAGAATCCAGTGGGGTATTGAGGGAAAGCCCCCCTGCACATGCAGCAGGAAGTGCTCAGCGCGTGTGTCCTCGGCCTTGTCCCCAGGGATGTGGCATAGTGTGAGGGCCGCAGGCACTTATGGGCTGGCGCCAGGGACCCCTTGGGCTCTGACCTTGACTTTTGTGCTCAGGGAAGCGTGGTCAAGGATTAGGCGATTGCCTGAAATGCGGGATGGCGGTGAATCTTTATAAGAGGGGCAGGGGCCTCTACTGTTCAAAAGAGAACCCAGAAAAACCACACACACACACACACACACACACACACGTACACGCACACAGAGGCAAGCATGTACACGCACACACAGGCGTGCATGCACGCACACACGCATGCACAGGCTGTGCAGTGAGACCCTGGGGCTGGACGCTTCAGTGTCTCTGCGAGCTCAGAGTGTGAAGCCAGCGGGATGTCCTCAAGCTGTCCTGGGAGGTGCTCTGGACCCGGTGACCGATGCTCTTGTCCTCGCTTACCCCGTGAGCTCCTGTCCTTATGTCAGGCTGGAGTAAGGAGTCAACCTGTGCTCATTTATTTTCTTCCCACTAGAAGCCCGGGCCACTCGCTCCACGGTGGTGTCGCTGCAGACCGCGAGGAGGCGCCAGTGAGGGCCCGCTCGGCTTCTGACTAAGCGGCCTGCAGGACTCCTAGCCACACCCCCACCCACAGCCCCAGCCAATACTAGAAGGCCCTGCCTTCTCCTGTTTCCTTGAGGCCCTGGCAGGAGCCAGGGAGAGGCGCTTCCAGGCCAGAGAAGCAGAACGTCGAGTCACGGATGCAGCATCCGCCCCCTTCCAGGTCTCGCCGGCGGGGCGCCGGAGCCGCGAGGGTCCCGCTCCCGCTGCCTGGCCCAAGTCCACGCCCGCAGCCAAGAGCGACTCTCGAGCTCCCCCAGTCCCCGAGAATCCGTTTGTAATCGCTAGCTTCTTTTCCTGCTCTCTGTCAGGTGCTGGCTAGAGACCACCTCCCATCGGGGTAGAAACGAAATAACTGGGAGCTGATGTGTAATGAGAAGCTCAATTTCCAGGGTCACTAAGTCTTGGTGAGAAAAATCGCAAACAGAGGCAAATTTTGGAGGCACCTTAGCACGCGTTGTTAGAGATAAAGATGTAATCAGCATTAGATTTTTTCTTCTATTTAATCCTTGCAACACGTATTTATTTATATTTTAAAGAGAATCTTGTAACCCTTTCTAATGCCTTAATCCACAGGCTGATGGAGGTGGAGAGACTAGATTCACCCAACTGCTCATTTAGTGAAGTTATTTTTAAACACTTAACTCCTTATCTTGATGTAGTTCCTAATAGGAAACGATAATGTTGACAACAGAAAAGAGTGATAGAATTTCTGAATGCCCTCCTCCCAGACACCAAATGCAGTTCTGGATTGTTGTTTAGTTATGGGTGGTCTTCTTTCTGTTTAAAATGTGCATGACAGTTGGACGTAGTATGACGTACGCTGTGATAATGGAGTACGTTCATATGACGTGTAATGATCACCTCCGGGTAGCGAGCGTTTTCAGCACGGCACACGTTTATCATTTCTTTGTCCTCCTGTCCTCCGGGTCTTCACGAGGTCTGAACATTAACGTGTCAGCACACTGCCTCTTCTCTCTCTCCCTCTGGCTCCCTCCCTTCCTCACATGGTTTGCTGAACCATTGGGCAGTGACCTGTCAGGAATGACATCTTTTCTCCATTCAGCAATACTGTCCTAAAACGAGAAGTTCTCTTACAAAACCGCTGCACAGCGACCGACATGAAGAAATTGACATCAAGACAATGCTGGGATATACATTACATCATTACTCTTCTACAGACTTTAAATTTTTTTTTGCGGAACCGGGGATTGAACTCAGGCCTTTGTGCTTGCCAGGGAAGCGCTTATTCCACTGAGCCATCTCCCCAGCCCCTTAAGAATTTTTTAAAAATTAATTTTATTGAGAAACAAATAGCAATGAGACATTTTCAAAACAGGTTAGTAGGACAGTTACAATAATTAATACATTGCATATTGTTGTCTTCATAGTAGTTATTCATAATACAAGGTGCAAACATGATATCCTGTCCAAACACTATTAGTACAAAAAGAAATGCTTTAGAAATTGCTTGTTTGTTCATTACTATGATAGTTATCACAGTAAATGAAAAGGCTGCAACACAAACACTTTATTTTATTTTTTTAGGACGATTTCTTTTTTATTTTATTGAGAAATAAATATCAATGAGATTTTCCAAACTGATTAATAGGACATTTTCAATCATTAATACATTGCACATTGTTATCTTCTCAGCAGTCATCCACAGCACGAAAAGCAGCCAGGACATCCTGTCCAAACACTACTACTACTATGAATCCTTCTCACTGAGCCAAGTGAAAGCAGCCGTCCAACTATCCTAACTATTCTGTATATATAAATACAAAATGGTCCTTCCTTTGTATCTCCCCTCTCCAGTTCAGTCCTGTCAGAGATGGGTATCCTATTGGCATCTAAATATTATAGGTGCTTGAATTCAGCAAAACAAACCAACACAGTCCAGTAGTCCACAATAGTAGTAGGTTGTCCGCTCTTATACAGAATTTCTTCAGATTTTTCCAATGGTTATTATATTTTTAACTGAAAGAAGCTCAACTGATATGTGGTGGTCAGTTGCCGTGTCTGTTCGGACTCCCTTAAATTGAAATCATTTTTTGGTTGCGCTTTGTCTTTCTCAACTATATCATTTTTTGAAAACACAAGCTTTTGGGTGTGCTGTTCCCGGTGTGTGTGTATTTTTGTTATAGATAACACGAATGCTCCCACTGCATTATCCGCTGAGCTAGTTCGCCGGCCTTCTGATGCCTTTGGTCTAAGACTGCTTTACATCCTGTGTGCTTGGAGTGCCAGGGCTAGACCGCTAGTGCTGTATTGCTGCTCCCTAAATTATTGAGGCTTTCACAAGTGTTTATGTTAGTTATATCGATATTTACTACATAGAAATTAAAACAAATTTCAAAATGTCAATTTATTAATTTGTTGAAAAATAAGTAATAAACCCATCACATTATAGCAGTACTATTTCTTATGGAAAGAGACTATGTTTTTCAAAACAGAAAATATTGGATGGAATGTCATTATCTTATATTTTTGAAAATCTCTTTAATGTCTGGTTTAATAGCAGCTGGCCAGGAGTGGTGACAGCACATGCCTGTAGCTGCCACACTTCAGAGGCTGAGGCACAAAGATCATAAGTTCAAGGCCAGCATGGGCTACCTAGCAAAATCCTATCAGAAGAAGAAAAAACGCAGTTGGATGGTTGCCATCTCTGTTTCTAGAGTCGAGTTTGGAGTTTATGTCCAGTTGTCCCCTCAAAGCCTCATGTAAGTCATGGGGAAGATGGGGCTCAAGGGAACAGTGAGTGGCTTGAGGGGCGGGGCCAGAGGACCAGGGCGGGGCTCAAGGGGAGGGGCCAGAGTACCAGAGCAGTGCTCAAGGGGAGGGGCCAGAGGACCAGGGCGGGGCTCAAGGGGAGGGGCCAGAGTACCAGATCAGGGCTCAAGGGGAGGGGCCAGAGGACCAGGG